GTAAAAGGCACTGGTAGTATTTATTCCTGAGAAAGTAACATCAGTATAGGAAACAACTAATTTATTTCTATTGACTCCTTCCTACATTTGAGTATTTTTATTTTAAAAACTCTAAAAGGAAGCTATGAGTAACTCTTCACATGTGACATGGAAGTGCCATGTGAAATACTGACTGATGCTCAACATACCTTTCGTAGACTGCCCATTTCTGTATCTAAACTGTCTTGATAAGAGTCAGAGTACCAAATCATAGCTGTCTGTGAGTATATAGAATTTTAAAACTGGGACATCGATCAGCTAGTTATATAATTGTATAGTGAATAAAACCAAGATAATTGATGAGTTCAGTATTGTAAAGAGTAATTGAAGAGCCAGTTAGAACTCAGGTGTCCTGTGTGAACTCCAGTATTCCGTTTCATTATACTTGTCAACCCATGTATTAAAATATTAAAACACTAAAACATTATCTGCTTATTTCATATTAATACCTCTATATATAGAACGGCATGATACTAGCCTAGAATCATTAACTGTGTACACATGTGTTTAAGAATTGAAATGCATCCTGTCCTCACCTTTTACAAATAAGGGAATGAGGGAACCTTGGAAGTTGTTACTTTCCCACAGTCACTGTACTGATTGGTGATAGAGCTCAGATATATTTCCTAATATGGTTCATATGCCATGCATGTAAATATCAAAATGTACCATTTATTTTGCCTACTATGTTCCCTTTGATAGTTTCCTGAATACCATTTTCTAACCATGTGCATTTGTGAAGCATGTCCTAGGGAGGGCTTTAGCAGTGATACCCGTAGCCACTGTTGATCCCCAAAAAGGTTCAGCAGTTACTTAAGTGATTGGCTTCTTTGTTTTGGTGGATTTTCTTCACTTCTGTTTGTCCCACAAAGTGGCGTTGAACACCCGGTGATCCATCAGCAGTGTTTTTCACTTTTGCTGCTGCAGCACTGTAGCTGCTGCTAACTTCTACTGCTTTAGGAAAGTTGATCTTGAACCTGTGGCTCAGCATTGCCCTCAGTCAGCAGTGAGGTTAGCCAGGTCATGTGGTCCCGTCTTGTCATTCCACTTCTCTCCTGAGACCAGTAACAAACTTTGTTTCTCTGCCAAAAGATGATGGGTCCTTCAGGTGAAGAGGAGTCATTCTGAGAGTCTTCAACAGTAACCATTGGGGTAGGACTCTCAGCCTTGTTTAATCCTCCTTCCCACTGCTGCTGAAAGAAACAAAACCCCTTACCAAGGCCCCTATGGCCCCCGTATTCAGACTTCTCCCCATCTCTTTAGCCTCATTTCCTAACTCTTCTGCTATTTAGTACCATGGCTTTTCTGGCCCTTTGACCCTCTCCCCCTTCCCACAACTTATTCCTGTCTCAGTCCATTTCTGTCTTCTATTTCCTAGGCCTAGAACACTCTTTACTGAGATGGTCGTTTAGCTGAATCTACATCATTCTATTTTCAGCTCAAATTCACCTCCTCAGAGAATCTTTAATTATGTTAACTAAGTCCCCTCCCCCCGGCACTCTATCCCGTTAGCCAGCTAAAGTGTAGTATAGCATAATGATTAAGGGTACAGGGTCTGGAGCTGGGTTGAATCCTGGCTCTACAACACTTACTACCTCTATAACCTTGCAAGTAACTTACTCCCTCTATGTCTTTTTCTTATTTATATAATGGAGATGAAGATGGTATCTATTTTATACCTTCAAGAAATGTCAGTTGTACATATCAGATGCTAGTAAACTGATTCTTGCTTTTGTGGTCTTGTGGATAAGATAATTTCATAAGTAATAGCATAAAATGTGATAAACATTGTGATTGGGAAATACATGAAGTGTGGAGTTGGTTGCACATGTTTTAATTAGCAGATTACTTTATATTCTTTGCTGAAGAGACATTAGCTAAACTGCTCTCTAAATATCTATCCTTTAGCTCATAATGAGGGGATTAAGAGTGACTGAGATGGAAGTGGTGCTCTTTCAGATAAGGGAAGCTAGGGGAAATATTTCCAAAATGATGACATTTGAGCAGAGGCTTGAAGGATGTGAGGGTGTAAGTTATGTGTAAATGTGGTAGAATAATTATCCAGTCAGAAAGAACAGCAGGTGCAAAGTCCCCAAAATGGAAGTGTACTTAATGTGTTCAAATATCATAAATAAGACTGTTATTGGGGTTTAAAAAATAGGAAAGCCATGAATGATAGGCTTAGAGAAGGGGTTAGGAGCTAAATGATGCAAAGCTTTTATAATATTTACACTGAGTAAAGTGGGAAGCCATGGAGGGTTTTGAGTAGAGTGATAGATTTATGTTTTAACAGGATCACTCTTGTTGCTATGTTAAGAATAAACTGTAGGCATAAACGAAGGCTTTTATCATAGTCCAGATGAGAGATGGTGATGA